CTTTTGAACTGTAAGTGTATTTAATTTAGTTATGTTAGTTATGATAGATTAGTTATGATGTAAATATAATAAAATTAAATCAAGATTTAGATTAGAATAATTATCATTTTGATCCATACATTGGTAATGTCTGACTGGGCCTCGTGTCACTTTATGTTCAACAAATTGGGCCCCGAGGTCAAAAAGGTTAAGAACCCCTGGTTTACTCATCCTGGATCTTGTTTAAAACATAAGAGCTGCTACTAAAAAGAAATAAATATCAGTTTTTACAGCAAGGTGTGTAGCTAAAATCTGTCAGATTTATGAGTGATTTTAGACGAGGCACCCAAACTAAAACTGCAAAAAATGTCATCAAATCTAAATAATGCTCACCAGAGGGGGGTCGACTCGGAGCTGGGGGTGTGTGTTGGCGAGGAAGTCTTTGGAAGTTGTGTTCATTGTGTTCATAGTATCTATAATCCTCAGGAAAGCACTCTTGGACTCTCTTGGGCTGGCGCTGCTGCTGGTTTTCATAGTACGGTTCCGATGGGTAGTAATACCGGGCGGCGTCTCCATTCTCAGACATGGGGCTCACGTCTGTGAGGAAGGACTGCGACGAGCCCCTGTAGTCGTGGGACAGGTCTCCCAGGCTGCGCGGCAGGTACGGAGGTGCTGACATCCGGTGGCTCTCTCTGCGGGCCGCCTCGTGTGGAGGCCGCTGAACGGGCGTCCGCAGGACGCTTTTGTTACGAGACGCCACGGACTCCCTGCTGGGCGCCGCGGGGTAGGAAGAAGGCCCCATCTCGGGAGGGGGACCCTCCGTTCGTCTGGGAATAGTCGGTCCATGGCGGATGAACGATGGCATGAGATCTGCAAACAGGTGACAGAAATCATCAGTAGTGATCAACATAAATCCAGCTGTGAGGCAAGCACAACCAGAGATGGGGCATGTAAAACATTAATCGTGTTTCCATCCAAATTTAATTTGAATTTTGAGCAAATATTAAAAATTCCGCAAAAAAGAAAAAAATTAAGAAATGCTAATCAGACGTGTTTCCATCAATTGACTTGAAGCGAATCAATTACGTCATAAGGGCTCAACTCACGGGACGCGATAGCGATCACAGCGTTGCGAATCGCGCTCTCAGATCGCTTGTCTTCGCAAAATTTGATTGGTTCTTCACTCTGAAGGGGGGTGTGCATTACGGACGTGTAAACTAAACAAATCTTGCGATGCTAATGATATTGAAAAACAAACACACATCAAGGTACAGTTTTATGAGGAAAAACTTACCATAAACTTCACCCTGGTGCCAACAAATTCCCACAAAGCTTTTTAGTAATCACTTGGTGAAAGTGTTAGCTAACTGCAGTGTGTAGCATACTCTCCTCTCATTGGTCTGTCAATGAAACCCTCGCTGATTGGTTGTACGCTAAGTGACAGCGACAAAAGTTGAACATTTTTCAACTTTCATTATGTCACGTCGCAAGCTCGCGTGTGCACGTCTACRTGTACGAGHRYGAAATTTCACATGCACTATTTTCGCCGGTCGCTTAGCTGGAGGAGGGCAAGCGATTGTCGCCTCAACGCACAGGCTCCATAGGAAATGAATGGAGAGAGAGTGACGTTGCCTCCYGTATGTCGAGCCCTACAMACATGTGCGTAGTAAACAGGAAGTACAGCCGCTAAACTCACAAGGTTCCTCACATCTCAGGATAATGGAGAGAAGTTATCAGGAACGTGTTGCTACTATCAGGAAAGTTGTAATTATTGTTATCAACTATTTTTGGTGATGTTACTGCTGTCTGGAGACGTAGAGAAAGAAATACAATTTTCTTCACGTTACGGGATTACTGAGAAGACGCAAACAGCGGGAGGAGGGTTCTGCTGCCAGTCGCGGCTGCAGCCGACCCGAAACTGGTACCAGTACTGGGGAACAGCTGATCAGCTACGTGAGGTAAATGTTCACTACGTCACAACTTATTCGGCAAACGTGTTTCCATCTCCCGTTTTGCGCATTAAAAAAAACCAGCTCAAGCGAGCGTCAAAACTTTTTAGCGAATTGAGGATTTTTTTCCCCGAATTTTTCCGTTTCCATCCGACTTTTTTAATGCGACACTTCTAAATATGCATCAAAAAGCCTTGATGGAAACACGGTTATTTACAAGACCCATTTTTACTATGCAAAAACGAGCTGTGAGAATTGTAGCAAGGAAACACTATTATCACCATTCAAATATTTTGTTCAGTCAGTTGGGGCTTTTTAAGTTTGATGAGTTAGTCGACTGTAGGATTTGTTACTTATGTATAAAGCCCATGAGAATGTACTGCCCTTTAACAATCACCTTTTTTGTAAAAGAGATAGCATATATAATTTGAAAGGAATTGAAATGTTTATTAAACCAAAAATCAGAACAAATTTTAAAGGAGAGATGCACGTCCTTCCAGGGAATCAAACTGTGGAAAAATTTGGGAAACGTTTTCAAAAATGGGAATACGATTTAAATATTTGCTAGATTGATAAAAACTTTTTTGTTAAAATATTAACAAAATGTAGATTGAGTATTAATTTGAGTATTTTTTATTTTAATTTTTAGATTGTTTTTGTTGTGACGTTTATCGCTGATGTTAAAAAGTGAACTATGYTATTAATGAATATTCACAGGCTGTTTGCGCCAGGAGGAATTTTTTCTTTTAAGTAGTAGTAATCGTTTTTGTCTTTTAATTTATTTAAATTAATTATGAACACTTGTTGAATCTCAAAAGTACAGTTTTTAAATTAAATGTTGCTGAAACAAGTTTCTCAGTGGATCTGCACTCAAAAATGCAGCCTAGGTGGAGTAGTCGAACACAGATCCACTGATCCTTCAACACAGAGCATCTTCAGAAGACAAGTTGATAAAGTAAATTTTTAAAATCTGTATTGTTCCATACAAGTGTGTATTGAACTGTGACGGCCCTGCTTCTTAGTTAATTGCAGCCAGCTGCCGCAGATTTGCTAATTGTGCTTCCTCAAAGGTCATCCTTAGGGGGAGTGGCCTGTGCCCTTTTTGAAGTGCGCACCTGGAGTGCTGAGTAGCGCTGTGTGGCTGGCGAGGGCTCGGAGGTTCATCGCTCTGTGGCTTATGTTGGTTTTTGTGCTGCACCTGTCCTGTCGGTCTGCTGCTGCTCTCATACGGCGTGCCTCAAGGGAGAGACATCCTGCTGGTGTGTGGATGCCGAGTCGGGGTTTTCGGAGCTGGAGAGAGGACACTGAAACTCGGACGCCGAGGTGCACGGAGGACACGACGGTGGTCGAGGGAATCAGACCACAGACTTGCTCATAACAGGTGGAACGTAAACCTGGACCACGGACTTCAGAAGGTCCAGCTTGGTGAGAAATGTCCGGTGCATTCAGGAGCTACGGAGCTCCAAACCCGGCCAACGAACTCACGTAATCCTAGACAAAACTTTAATAAATACCTTTTAAGGTTTTAAACTGGTTCCACTGTGTCGTGTCTTCACATTTGTTATGGCTCTTGAGCCGGGTCGTAACATGAACCTAAAGCACTGTTCAATACGGGTACATGTATTGTTGCACCCCTAATATATACTGTATATATCGCTTAATGACCTTAATTTAGTAGAATACTAAAAGTCTTTTTTAAATGAGATATGAACTAAATATTGGTTAAGATTTGTATTTGTGTTGTGATGCTGTTTGTTGATTATTTGAAATTATATTGTGTATTAAGTTGAGTTTTATTACTCGTTTGTTGTACGTTTTTTTAGATACATGTATTTTTTTAATTGGGGGTCGATGTTATAAGATTTTATTCTTCTTTCTGCTCCTTTTCATTTGACTGCGTCATGACTGTCTTTTTGACACAATGATGTTGTGTTATTTGTTTGTTTTATTATTTGTTTGTTGAATGAAATAAAGTTCTACCAAAAAAAATAATGTGAAGACTCCAAAATAATCCAAAGTTTAGTTAGTTGGATCTTTCACATTTTGAGCAGCACTGCATTAAAAAATAGGGGTGTAAGAAAATATCGATACACTGAAATATCGCAATATTTCATTTCCCAATACTGAATCGATATTCTAAAGCCCTGTATCGATTTTTTTTATTAAGGTTTAAAATGTCAACTTTCCTGCCAGCCATTCATTTTTATGTTGTAGTTTAGCCTCTGACCACTAGTTGGCAGCAGTGAGCCAGCCATTTGGCTCCGCTACCTCTTGAGGTAGAGGCTATTGTTGTGTTGGGTGACCTTATTGTAAATTAATATTAAAAACTAAAATCTGCAAAAAATATATTTTCGAACTATTTATTGTCAAATTAAGTCTAATAATTGAAAACATGGATGAAATATGAAACAAATAAAAATAAAATACATACAAAGCAGAACACAGCTAAATGTATCAAAAGYATGTCTATGTAATATTAGAATTTTCTGAGACAATGAATTTTGGTTTTTCATTTGTTTCCCAATAAGAGGTTTTTATTTAATAGATTTTTTTGACAAAAAAATCGCAATATATTGCCTTGCTTATAGCATCGCAATATATTGGGATATATCGTATAGTGACCCCTCTGTCATGATATGTATCGTATCGCCAAAATCTTGACAATACACAGCCCTATTAAAAAAGGGAGAAATCAGGTGGATGGGCTGAGGAAGACTTCTGAACACAACTGTCAGGGAATAGAGCAGCGTGATGAAGGCTACTACAAAGCTCAAAGTATTTTCCTGGGATTTTACGTGGTAAACCAACACAAAGTAGAACATGATTGTAGAGCAGAAAGAAAATGATTATTGTTTTTTAAGTTTTACCACAAAAATCTAAAAATGCAGTGTTTGTTTGTATTCAGACAGTAATTTGTAAAGATGTTTTTTTTGCTGTAGTTTCAGCTGTAAGTCTTTAACGTATACCTTACAGAACAAGATGTAAAAGTTTAGATGTCTGACCAAACACAGACAAGCAGCTGTGCCTCTGAGACAAAGAAACACGTTTTACAGAAATTCACCAACACAAAAAGTCCCCATGTCCCGTAACAAATCCAGATAAAGTCCAGAAGTGAGTGAGTAGAGGAACATCTTTGGCTGTAGCGTCGGTGGAGATGATTATAAGACAAACTGGAAAATGTGTTGGTGACATTATTTTTTTTATTTTTATTTTTTTTTACCTACAGCCTTTTTACCTTCAGCCCTTAAACATTTGCACTTACAATTTAGAATTTCTTTCATTTAACTTATCTTGAGATGTTTAAGTTCAATTTTCAGGTCATAAAATCACTTTAAATACTATATGTTTTGTACAATTCTGGTTCAAATAAAGAACTTTATGTTTACTTACAGTGGCGTCACTAGGCCTATTTTAGGGGGGCTGGAGCCCCCCTAAAATATTTTAAAGCCCCCCCCCCTCCAATTATTTTGGTGTAAAAAATGTTTTTATGTTTTTTTAACCAAAATTGAATATGGTGTGGTCAGAATAAATAACCATTTAATATTTCATTATTAACTAAAATACATGATCATAAATTTGTCAGTCTCCCTTTAATTTATAGTGTGAGGTAGAGATCCTCTTCGGTGTGTCGTTATCCAATGCATCCCTCTTGTTCATATAGAATACTCCTCCACCAGATGAAATCCAGTCCATGGCTGTGTCCAAAACGACAGGCCGGGTCCTCCGAAGGTCGAATTTGTCAGCCGCATACGTCACAGCCCCGCGACGAAGGACGTCCAAAACCGA